AATTTATCTTCTCTACTGTTTGATTTGATTGATCATATCATAATACTCTCTCAGTGAGAGAGAATTGGGTTAGTGCGCGTGAAAGAGGAAGAAGAAGTTGGATAGCTCAAAAATTTTGATGAGAGAGAAAGAAGAGAGAGAGAGCAGTTGACTTTTGAAAGTGGGCTCTGTTTGTTTGTTTGTTGCTTTTTTTAATCTACAAAAAATACTTGGTGCTTTTATTTTTTTTGAATTTATTAGGCCGTTGACTCTGCTTTAAAGAAAAAGCAAACACAGTGGAGAATTTCAGAATTTTTATTAAAGAAATGCTTCCATAATTTAAAATGAAAAATCCCTAATAATTTTTGTTCATTCTTAGTAAAATCCAAAAGTCAAATGTTTGAAATCTCATATCAAATAAATAACTAATCAATTCCTCTAACCAACCTAACACACCATTTGGCTTAATAACCAAATGAGTTTTTTTTTAGGAAAATTTAAACCTTTTTTATTTTCAAAACATATTTTTTTCGCCTAATAAATCGGCTGACCAACACATTGAACGTGCGGGGATGATAGTTCTTGTTTACCTAATCAACACATGCCATGTCATATTTTTTGTTTTTTTAATCGTTTGAATTTGAATTATCTTTTCTTAAGAAAATTGAAAATGAAAGCTTTGAGTAATTTTTCCAAGAAGAAAATCTCTCCATCTTTCTCCTTTTATTTTTTATTTTTGACTTTTTCCCGGAATTGACAAGTTGATGATATATAAGACTAACTTTAAATGGCTAAAGGAATTTTTTCCTTGAACACATTAATTTTTTACTTAAAAGAATGTAGACTGTGGCTGCCTTTCATTATTTGGTTTGAATTTAGTTCCTAAGCTATAGCTAGCTTTACTATTTTAATTGGTGCTAGTAATTTTTCACATGGGAAAGAAGACTTGTGAGAACTTCATTTTCATTTCTCACCCCAACATTCCATTTAAAGAAATTGAGGCAAGTGCAAAATAATTTTTTAATAACACATCATATGATATGAATTTAAATGTGTTCTTCCAAATAAAATTTTTCCCCAATGTTCAATGAAAATGAGGATTTTTGTCGTCATGCTATGAAAATAAAACAAAATGAAAAAAAAAATTATAATATTTTGATTCAATCCCCATCTACTTTAAAGTGATGAATAGGGAGAAAATTGTTGGGAAGAAATGTTATAATTCTAAAAATAATTGTACTAAAACAAACTTCCCTTATATTTAGGTCTTTTTAAATATATGTACAACTATCTTCCTTCTTTGGTCACAATTATGTTTCAAACAACAAACATGACAAACCAAATTATGTTACAAACTCTCTAATAAGGGAAAAATAGATGTAATGAACGAAAAATTAATTAAAAATATTATATAAAAAAACATTTAAATAAAAAAGTTCTTACAAGTAACAACTCTTACGGCAACTAATACTGTCATGAAGAGAGGTGTTTTATACAACTATTTATTATAATGGAAAGGTGTTTTTCAAGATAAATAAACAATGAGTTTTTCAAATTTTACTTATTGAGTTTTTCATTTGGCTTTTATCAAATTATTACAAACAAGAAGGAGAGAGAAATGGTCATTTGAGAGATCAAAAATTTTATCAAGTTGATTATTTTTTCGAGAAAAGAAAAACATGTGTTATAGTTGACTTATGAATCAAGTTTTACAATACAATATAAATCTGTTTCAATTATCTATCGTACCAACCATGAAGTTAAATACACTAACGTAGATCGAAATATGACAAAATCATAAACTTACATTGATGTTGAGAAGGTTAACAATAGTTTAAATATAAATTTGAAATCGATCCTTTTTAATTAGTATTTATAACCACAAATATAAGTTCACACTTCATAGTAATGTAAAATGGAAAATAATTTTTTTTTATGTTTCATAAGAAAAATAGGGTTAAAAGATGGAAGGAGAAAAAATCAAAATTAAATTTACGAGAGAACATATTAAAATTAGTTTAGGATATAGAGAGAAATATAATTGTGTGTATGGAGAAAGAGGTGAATATAATTAAGGAGAGATAATTATAACTGAAAACCAAAAAAAAAATCTAAGTTAAAAAATAGAAATAATTTATTAGGAGGAGAATCATTTTCAACAAAACGAAGAAGCGAAATGAAAAGATCAAGAGAGAAGACCAAATTTCAATAGTTTATCTTTAGCATAGCATCGCTTTGCCAAAAAATCAATAGTCACGCACATTCGACAAACACCCAACATACGAAAAGAAAATATACTTTCAAATGAGTTGGCAATATCGAGCATATCCATGATCTAGTTGCTTATAGTATAGCTTCTTCCCCTTTCAATTGGCTTAGAGATAAAACATGTTACTTAGAATTTTCACAAAATTATTTTCTTCCACAGAATAATTTAAAGAAACTATCATTTTCCATTGAATAAATTTGGAGATGATATATTTAAAGATAAACATTAAAAACATAAAGGAAAATTCACCACGTGTCATTATCCGACGAATCCCTTTCTCTCTCTCCTCGAACTACTTTCTATAATTGTAAGTTTCACAGTCCCAAAAAGAAAAAAAGAAAAAAGAAAAAAAAAAGTAAATGAAGTCGATGGTTCACTAAATTCTCATGGTTCATTGAATGTGAGGACTTAAAATTTTAAATTTTCTTAAACAAATCAAGAGAAAGAAAAAAGTCTGAATTTATGCCAAACTACCCTTTTCACTTTAAACTTTTAAATGTACATTGAATATATATGAATTTCCTTTTAATGTTTGAGTTTTTTTTTCATAATTTTGTTTTTTTATGGATATTTTATTAATTTCAATATGAGAACCTTTATTGTTTTAAATTTATAATTATAGAAGAACATATAAAGCTAAATTAAAATTATTTCAATCCCATCAGCCTTAATAAATTTAAGTATTGAGGAGTAGTGAGGCAGGCAACTAATTTACTAGAGTTAATGTCAAATCAGTTAGTTGGAGTATTTGAGGAAATTATAACAAATGGCATAATTTCATATTATAATTTTAATAAACGTAATTCAATAATTTATTAAAAGTAGCATATGAGACTATTTTGTTAATAAAATAAGTATAAAAATCATTAACTAAATAAATACTTTATATTGTTAAATATTACATCCGCAATCAACTTGATACCATATTTTATTAATTTGCCATACTAATCGTTTAACATCTATTATAATAATTATCCATAATATAATAATTGAGTAAAATTGAATAAGCTATTGAAAATTATTAAGTGGTTTTTGTACTTGTTTACCTGCATTTCTAGTTGAGTTCTACCTCAGGTGACATGTCAACTGTTCGACCTACGTGAGTTCTAATGTAGACTTTGTTTGCACCTGTAAACAGAAACTTGTATTTGGTATTCGTCTACGTACACTTCGAAGCTTTAAGTTCATATTTAGTCTAGTTAACGTCGAATCGAGATAAGTTTGAATGCAAGAGATTGTATACTTTTGAGGAGGTGAGACTCCATCTTTATATGAACGAAACTTTAAGATTTGAGGCTCTATACGACGTAGATATTATTTCAAGAGCTTTTTGCCAACAATTGAGTGAGCTATGCTGATCAAAATTTCCCAATCGTAATTGAGTGAGCTCTGCTCACTTTATCACATATCTTTTCTCTTCGTCTTTGCAGCAGTCCACGTGTAGCACTTCTTTGACGTGGAAAATACTTCTCATTATTTGAGGTGGAAAATTGAAAAAATATTTTTGAATATTAAATGAATTACTTGTATTAAATTTGAATGACCGAGAAGGAAGAGAGATGGGCTTATTTAATTTTAGAATATATTCATTAGGTGACAAGGTTGCAAGTTGACGTTGATTTGTAAGGGCAAAAACGAGAAATAACTTTCTAGTTTAAGATATTGCAAATATAGTTGCATCTTTCGAATTCGTATAACAAACTTTATGCATTGAATTGACTGCACTCTTCAACTAAATCAACTTGGTTCCATGAATTTGGTCGGTTCTTTTTTTTCTTCTCGATTTATATAAAAGAAATTAAATTCGTCACGTATACGAAATTTGAAAACAAGTCTTGTGGAGAGCTTTGGTCCATTAACGAACCACAGGCCCAAGCCCATGGACACTCTTGGGCTTACGTATATGGGCCGATTGACAGCTCTCTTTTAGTAACTTCCAAAAAGCCCAAACCAAACTTATCGATTGGGCTCGGGTACTTCGTAGGAACCCCTATCCATCTTTTTTTTTTCTCCTTCCTACAAAATAAGTTGAATTAATTTCAAATATAACACCAACATCCCAGATTTATAGTACCTTTCGGGTGTTGGTGCAGTGGCAAGAGGCTTGAATTTTTACTTCCAAGAACAAAGTTCGCGCCCTCCTATATCCGGAAGTCTATGAAAAATCAATTCATACGGTATAATTAAACAAATTTCTATGTTCATTAAAGCTAACATATCAATAATTTGTAAGATTTTATATTTCATGCTGCTCCATAATCGGAGAAAATTTTAGATTTAAAATTCGTCCATCAAGTTCTAGACATGCCAAACTTAAATTATTTAGAGGATTATAGTTAGAACTATTATGGCGTGCAAAAACGAGAAGATATCACATAATAGAAGAGAGAAAATAAATAAATGTATAAAAAAATGTTTGGGAGACATTAAATGAATTGAGACTTATCGAAATAATCCATAAGCTAAAAATGAATCTATTCCCAAAGAATTAAGTTTTGCTTTCTTTAAACCATGCTCAAGATGATGTATGACTAGTCATAACACCATGATGTGTTATTGGGATTAATATATAATGTTTATCTTTTGTATTTATCTTATATTTTCTCCATTAAAACACCAAATTGCACATTAATTTATTTGAAAGGTTAATTAAAATAAATCGCCAATCATTTTAAGAAAAAAGAAAAGTGACCTTTGATTTAGTAAATAAATTATGACAGTCATATATATACATATATATATATATATATATATATTTGAGGAAATTATGACAGTCATAGTCAAATGGAATAATCCAATAAACTAACTGAAGCATTCTTTTCTTAAAGAAAATATTAAAGCAAAAGCAAGTCACATTCAGAAGGAATTTCATCTAAAATTGATGGATGATTCCAATTTTAATTGGGGCATAAAATACTATAAATATTTTATTTGTTTAATATAAAACAATAACAAAACTATAAGTTTAATTTTTTAACTTTTTAGGTTGTGTCTCTTTAATAAATGTGATTTTTTAAATTTTAATTAAAAAAATATCTAAAAATTCTCTAACTTTTTAATCTTGCTTGAAGTACCAATTTTTGGTCTAATAAATATAGAATTTATAGGATTTTTTTTTTCTTTTAAGTTCAAGGAGCATGGAAAGTATAAACACTTGAAGTGACATATATTTTAGTGTAAGCTTTTTTAAAATAATTTTCTCTTCTAAGTTGTTTCTTCAAAAATGTTTTCAAGCAATATGATTTTTTAAAAATATTTGTTATTTATTACCAAATACGGTAGATTTTCAAACGTTTGTTTTAGTAATTCAATCTTAGTTAAAGATGAGTTTAGTATATCTTTTAATTAGAAAATTCTTTGAGTAACTTGAAGTGTAGTAGATGTTACAATTGGACATCTGAATTTTTAATTTTGGATCTCTAAAGAAAATTCCTTTAAAAGTTATATCTATTATTTTACCCTATTTCTTCCCAAATTTCTTTATTTTTACAATGAAACGTTTAACGAAACTGGAACGGGTCTCACCGGCAAGCCTCATTCTTGGGCCAATACAGAAACCACTCTCCTCTCTCACCCTCTGATGAATAAAATCGATATCTTCAAAAGAAAAAACCCCTCAGCCTTCAGCGCTGGCAGGGCCATTTTCTGATACCATGTTGTTGATTTTCCGGTGAAAAAAGTTCTTCCCTTCTCTAAACTCTCTTTTCAAATGTCTAGTTTTTTCAGTTTCCACCAAATTCCAATTCTATTCCAACAAAACCACATCCCCGACCTCTTCAAGTACCTCATCATCCGCGTGACACATGTTTAATTTGTTTTTATACATTATTCTGATTATTCTTCTTCTCAAATTGTAAGGATCATTGGTTTCGAGTTTGGGGTTTTCTTTTGTTTTATTTTGCAGGTGTGGGGAAATCTTGCATGTTGTTGCAGTTTCGGTGTTTCAGCAATAATATATATAAATCATATTGACCAACACCAATAAAATAAATAATATATTTACCCTAATAATAATAATGCTGACAATAATTGGTGAGGAAAAGGATCAACTTTTGAGCGGTGCAGAAGAGCGAATTTGATGGAGACTGTGAAAGTCAAAGGAAGATGTGGGCTCTACGGCCCACATTCACCTTCAAGTGGATCACTTTCGTTTTGGGCCCACCATAATATGGAACCATCTAATCCATTTGGGATCTTTTTTGGGGGAAAAAACTAATTGTTTTTTATATGATTTTTTAAAATAATAATCTAATTTCAAGTAAACCCATAAGAGTACTAAAAAATAATAATAAACCCATAAGAATTTTTTTTATATTTTATATCAAAAAAATAAATGATATAGTCCGCTCACTTTAATATTATTTTACATGTATTCTTTTTTTAATATTTTTTAGTTCAACAACTGGTGTATCAAAATTTGAGAAGAATTTTGATATTGAGTTATATTATATGAATTGATGTTAACATCATAAAATTAAATTAAAAGTATTACAATATAATTTACTAAAAAAAAAGTATAACAATATAATTAGAACTTTTTTAAGTTTAAAGACAAAACACAATGTAAAATTGCAATAACAAAATATGTATTTTAAAAAAAATTATTTTTTTAGTCGTTTTAGAATTCCTTTACAGTTTTTAGTTTTTAGAAACCATTTAATTTAATTTATATAACCTTGCTGGATTTTATTTTTAAAAAGTAGATTACAAAACAAACCAATTGAGTGTAAAACTATTTTATTTAATTTATTTGATCCTTTCTAATAAAGAAAAAGATTATTTAAATTTAGGATAAATACCAAAAGATCTATAATATAAATACTATTTTATAAGTAGATGTGTTTTTTAGAAATAACTTATCAAAACTTAGAACCTAGAACTAAGTATAAATCAACTGATTGTAATATAAATCTCCGTCATTTTCCAATCTTGACTCCCACATATTATTGATGTAAAATTAAAAAAATAATAATGAATAACCTTATCAAAATTTAGAATTAAAATGATTTTGAAACTAATATATTTTTTTTTCAAAAAGAAAATTCGACCTTTTTTGTGCCCTCCATAGTGGTGAAAAGTGAGATTCTAAGGGCCCATTTTCCATAACCATAGAATGCTTCACTTTAGAATACTTCATTTTCTTCTTATGCCTTTTTCGCCATCAAATCATTCATCCATCATTCAACACACAAAATTCCTCTTTTAATTTTTTTATGCCTAGAATGCAAGTAATAGTAATGGTATTAATAATTTTCA